CCTCAATCCCTCTGTTACTGTGTCACTATACCCCACCTCCTCTAACATGTAAGCTCACTGAGCAGGGCCCTCAATCCCTCTGTTACTGTGTCACTATACCCCACTCCCTCTAACATGTAAACTCACTGAGCAGGCCCTCAATCCCTCTGTTACTGTCACTATACCCCACTCCCTCTAGCATGTAAACTCACTGAGCAGGCCATCAATCCCTCTGTTGCTGTCACTATACCCCACTCCCTCTAACATGTAAACTCACTGAGCAGGCCCTCAATCCCTCTGTTACTGTGTCACTATACCCCACTCCCTCTAACATGTAAACTCACTGAACAGGGCCCCAACCCCTCTGTTACTGTGTCACTATGCCTCCCTCTAACATGTAAACTCACTGAGCAGGCCCTCAATCCCTCTGTTACTGTCACTATACCCCTCCCCTCTAACATGTAAACTCACTGAGCAGGGCCCTCAATCCTCTGTTGCTGTGTCACTATCACTCCCTCCTAGCATGTAACCTCACTGAGCAGGGGCCCTCAATCTCTGTTACTGTGTCATATGCCCCCCACTCCCTCTAACAGCTGTAAACTCACTGAGCAAAGGCCCTCAATCCCTCTGTTGCATGTCCCCACTCCCTCTAACACCTTCTTAAGCTCTTCAGGCAGGCCCCTCAATCCCCTCTGTGCTGTCACCTGCCCCACTCCCTCTAACCTGTAAGCTCACTGAGCAGGGCCCTCAATCCCTCTGTTACTGTGTCACTATACCCCACTCCCTCTAACATGTAAACTCACTGAGCAGGCCCTCAATCCCTCAGTTACTGTGTCACTATACCCCACTCTCTCTAACATGTAAACTCACGGAGCAGGGCCCTCAATCCCTCTGTTACTGTGTCACTATACCCCATTCCCTCTAACATGTAAACTCTCTGAGCAGGGGCCTCAATCCCTCTGTTACTGTGTCACTATACCCCACTCCCTCTAACATGTAAACTCTCTGAGCAGGGCCCTCAATCCCTCTGTTACTGTGTCACTATACCCCACTCCTTCTAGCATGTAAACTCATTGAGCAGGCCCTCAATCCCTCTGTTACTGTGTCACTATACCCCACTCCCTCTAATATGTAAACTCACTGAGCAGGCCCTCAATCCCTCTGTTACTGTGTCACTATACCCCACCCCCTCTAACATGTAAACTCACTGGGCAGGCCCTCAATCCCTCTGTTACTGTGTCACTATACCCCACTCCCTCTAACATGTAAACTCACTGAGCAGGCCCTCAATCCCTCTGTTACTGTGTCACTATACCCCACTCCCTCTAACATGTAAACTCACTGAGCAGGACCCTCAATCCCCCTGTTACTGTGTCACTATACCCCTCTCCCTCTAACATGTAAACTCACTGAGCAGGGCCTCAATTCCTCTGTTACTGTGTCACTATACCCCACTCCCTCTAACATGTAAGCTCACTGAGCGGGCCCTCAATCCCTCTGTTACTGTGTCACTATACCCCACTCCCTCTAACATGTAAACTCACTGAGCAGGCCCTCAATCCCTCTGTTACTCCCTCTAACATGTAAACTCACTGAGCAGGGCCCGCAATCCCTCTGTTACTGTGTCCACTATACCCCACTCCCTCTAACATGTAAACTCACTGAGCAGGGCCCTCAATCCCTCTGTTACTGTGTCACTATACCCCACTCCCTCTAACATGTAACCTCACTGAGCAGGGCCCTCAATCCCTCTGTTACTGTGTCACTATACCCCACTCCCTCTAACATGTAAACTCACTGAGCAGGGCCCTCAATCCCTCTGTTACTGTCACTATACCCCACTCCCTCTAACATGTAAACTCACTGAGCAGGGCCCTCAATCCCTCTGTTACTGTGTCACTATACCCCACTCCCTCTAACATGTAAACTCACTGAGCAGGCCCTCAATCCCTCTGTTACTGTGTCACTATACCCCACTCCCTCTAACATGTAAACTCACTGAGCAGGCCCTCAATCCCTCTGTTACTGTGTCACTATACCCCACTCCCTCTAACATGTAAACTCACTGAGCAGGCCCTCAATCCCTCTGTTACTGTGTCACTATACCCCACTCCCTCTAACATGTAAACTCACTGAGCAGGGCCCTCAATCCCTCTGTTACTGTCACTATACCCCACTCCCTCTAACATGTAAACTCACTGAGCAGGCCCTCAATCCCTCTGTTACTGTGTCACTATACCCCACTCCTCTAACATGAGCAGGGCTTCAAACTGTCACTGATGCACTGGCCCTCAATCCCTCTGTTACTGTGTCACTATACCCCACTCCCTAACATGTAAACTCACTGAGCAGGCCCTCAAACTGTGTCACTCTAACATGTAAACTCACTGAGCAGGCCCCCAATCCCTCTGTTACTGTCGCTATACCCCACTCCCTCTAACATGTAAACTCACTGAGCAGGCCTTCAATCCCTCTGTTACTGTGTCACTATACCCAACTCCCTCTAATTTGTAAACTCACTGAGCAGGGCCCCCAATCCCTCTGTTACTGTCGCTATACCCCACTCCCTCTAACATGTAAACTCACTGAGCAGGACCTCAATCCCTCTGTTACTGTGTCACTATACCCCACTCCCTATAACATGTAACCTCACTGAGCAGGCCCTCAACCCCTCTGTTACTGTCACTATACCCCACTCCCTCTAACATGTAAACTCACTGAGCAGGCCCTCAATCCCTCTGTTACTGTGTCACTATACCCCACTCCCTCTAACATGTAAACTCACTGAGCAGGCCCTCAATCCCTCTGTTACTGTGTCACTATACCCCACTCCCTCTAACATGTAAACTCACTGAGCAGGGCCTCAATCCCTCTGTTACTGTGTCACTATACCCCACTCCCTCTAACATGTAACCTCACTGAGCAGGGTCTCAATCCCTCTGTTACTGTGTCACTATACCCCACTCCCTCTAACATGTAAACTCACTGAGCAGGCCCTCAATCCCTCTGTTACTGTGTCACTATACCCCACTCCCGCTAACATGTAAACTCACTGAGCAGGCCCTCACTCCCTCTGTTACTGTCACTATACCCCACTCCCTCTAACATGTAAACTCACTGAGCATGTCCAGTTGTCTGGTTACAAACACATGTCTGTTAGTCCACGCATTGTACAGCACTCCAGAATTTGATGGTGCTATATAAATAATAAAATAATAAAAGGAGGTATGCTGTTTTGCCCTTTAAAATGTTATATCCTACAGCAGGAAAGTCTCTGGCTGAGATTGATGATAAAAGCATTTTTCTCACATCTCAGTAATTTGTATGGTGAGATTTATGTCTACTGGCAATGAAACCAAGGTAAAACCAGTGAGGTATAGGGGTTTCCCCAGCTCTAGGAAATAATATGTTTATCGTTGACGTCTCCCATAGTGAAACACAATTGATCAGATCTGAAACATGGGGCATGTTAGCAAATTGCATTGAGGACCTACCTGTCTATAGTGAACATTGCACTGTAAATAATTTATACATTCTGCAATAAATCGAAATGATTTGATTTCAGATAGGCAAAGGAATAGAAAATCCAAACTTGCTCGTAATCCATCTTTAAATATGTCTTTATATCATCACTGCGTATTATGTTTAACATTGTATAAATACAAAAGTAAACAGAGAAACTATTTATCAATCTAGTGAGATTTTACCTGTTCATACAAAAACACCGATTGTGCGGCTTATATCCCGTCATACGTTTCCTCCAAAAAGGAAAGTGGTAAATATTCCACAAATTACAGGAAACCTCTGCACAAAACCTTAGACTCATTTGTCTGCCGGGAAAAAAATTGATAATACACTTCTATTTAACATGTGATAACATTCTAAGAATTCTTTAGTGTGTCTGTTGTCTCTTTTTTATTTTTATGAAAAGCTCTACAACAAAACAAAAAAAGTAAAAAGCAAACTGCTCTGGAAAGTGTATCCGGCAGCTTGAACACAAAGCATTTCAATCCAGCTGGACTCGCAGACGACACTCCTGATTCCCTGGTAAAACAGATTTTAAGCTTGAATAGTCTGAGCTAATTGAATTCTTAGTGTACAGTACACCTGTGTTTGCACATTCCTTCTCGGAAGTCGCGCTCCATGCCAAGCGCTATTTATCAGTTTGTACCAAAACTGTTATTTCGTAGTTGCTCTAGGACTTTCAAAGTCAATAGTTCACTACCCACGGTTTAATCCTCGGCCACAGGAACCGCAGGTGCCTACAACTCCCATTATGTTAAGGCAGCCAAAACCAAGATTAATGCACCAAAGTTCACTAAAATATTTGCAGTACCATTATCGTAGTAATTAACACTGTCTTAATAACATACTCTTACAATCACGGCAGATAGAACAATATATAACAATGCGTTTCAATAAGGTTCCACCTCAGAAGAGTCACACTTAAAAAAGTAGGAAATGAAGGGGCTTATTCACTAAACAAAGAGTTTTTGTGAGAGGATAGTGAACATTTACATTAAAAAAATATTGAAAAGAGTAGATTAAACTAATCATTTATTCAAATATTCTTCCAACAGAATATGGCAACTTACTCTGAGGGGATAGTCATTAAATACGGAATTATAAAGAAGGCAAAATAATTTCCTCAGTTAAAGTTAAAGGTCTACTCTAAGTATTATAACCA